CCCTTTGTATATGCCATGGCTGCAGAGGCCAGATGGAGACCACAGTGGTGGCGATTATGATAAGGGGCTGACGGCGGGGGAGGGCGCTAAGGTAGGGAGTGGGGGTAGGCTATGGGAATGGGTGGCTGCCTATCGGCCCACTGATCAGCTGATTGGCAGCCGTTAGAAAGGTGTATTTTTAAATTTTATTTATTTTACAAAGGATTAATATAAACAGGAAAATATGTGTTGATCCATATTCGTTGGGACTTAAAATTTGACGAATATGGAACAACGAATATTTAATGAATCGGCTATTGTCAAAAAAGCTGATCAATGTTTATATTTGTCCTCATCTCTAATTATATGTGAAGAAGCAAGCGGGCACATTTATTTTACATTTGATCATATGAAGCAGGATCAGGTTAGAGGTTTCTCTGCACAGGGGAGACCAGGCAAGATCTGCATTCCTCTCCAGCCTTACATCATTGCATTCTGCTACTTTAAGCAGTTTTCTGCCTGGATAATTGGGAAATCTTGTTGGAATCTTCTTGAATTCAAAAGTGTTAAGTTGATCCAGATAAAGCATCTTGCAAACATCTTATTCCCCTTCATTCCAAAAAGGTTATTGGCATCTAATGGAACTCAAGTGTGGGAATGTAACACGTGTTCTTGTTTCTTGATCCTCTTTTGTCCTGTAGAGGTGGCTGGTGCAGGAAACAAGAAGAAGAGGTTGGCAAAAATTATTCTTTGACTTGTCAGTGGAGCATCCCATGAAGGGTGATCTGTTCATGGGAATTATGGATCATACCCTCTATGTTCACCTGTGTTTTACCAAAGGAATGTTTGTGGGAACATTATGTGTGTAAGTTTCTTAATCACCAGAATGCTCTATAGCAGCCCTGTGGAAAGTCGTCCAGAAAGATTTATTGGGCTGCAAATCACATCAGGCATAGACTAGCCAATGATGAGGAAAGCTTGGAGATTCAGTATCTATAGGGCTTTGTCTACCGTTGATCATTGCCTTTACTTGATTTGTTTAGGTATGAACCTGTTGTCACCAGACTGAGTGAGTGAATGAGAAGGTGACTGGATATCAAGAGGAGGTGGAGGAGAAGAATACATAAATCAATTCTCTTGTTCTATGCAGACTCCCTGTTAGGCTATGGCAATGAATGATTATCTGGGACAAATACTGTACAACATGCAATCAGTGTACAGTATGATTAATCTGAATTCTTCATAGCCTTTCACTAGTAATGTACAACTTACAATCATATACGTATAATATGTATCAATGCATATTTTTCATGTTGTGAATTTTTAAAAATCTTGTTTAAAAAAACACATTAATGTGGAAAGCATGTAGAGTGGTCGAAATGACTAGATAGGCGGGGTATAAATACAATAAATAAATAAACAAACAAATAAATAAAAAAATAAATAAATATTAGGGAAGTGACCTATAGCTGAACTTCTTAGAACCATGTACGACTGCACAATGAAATGCTCCCTGTTCATGACCTTGAACTCTTCAGAGTCACCTTAATTCTAAATATGTCTGCTTCAAAAGGATTCAGTTTCAGTGAAACTGTTTTCCAAGTAAACATGTTACATTTTTTTAGCCTCTGTGTCACTAAGATCAGATTGCATCTCCTAGAACAAAACATACTCTAATTTCGCTGACCAAAATATGACAGTATTTTGGAGGGTGATTAAACAAGTTGAACAAAGGAAACAATGTATGCCAAGCTCTATAGCCAGACTTTACTCTCTCAGGCCAACAACCTATACAGTATTGAAAAACCACTTGTAAAGGCAATTGCATCAAGTATTTTGTTTTTCAGTGTTTTGGTTTCTGGACTGCTGATGGCACAAATGGTCACACAGTCACTTTAGAACCTGGGGATGAATACTTCAAAGCAGTTCACATTGCTTGAGTGCCTGTCCTTAGGATTGTGCATAATATCAGTGCAAACCTGTATGTTTCTCTCTTGCTCTCTTTTTCAAAAAAAGTTAAATAATTAGGCACCATGAGGGATTTGTAAACTGTACATACACAGTACACGAAGGTATAAGGTTTCACAGTAATAAAAGTGCATATAAAAGAAGACAGTGTCTTAATTGTAACTGAATAAAAACTAGAAGCTGAAAAATTGTCAGGAACAGGGAACTAGCAAGAAAATAGCTAATACTGTACAATATAGGAAGGGAAGTGTCATCACAGTTGGTTTTGTGTAGCTTGGTGAATTAGAAATAAATGGTGGTCTCTGAAAATCTATTGAAAAATGAGGCTTTTAGAAAGTAGCACGTTCAGAAATCATTTTGGAGCTGGAGCTGAAAGGAGAGTGAGCAATGTGCAGCTGAAGAATTATTCAGATAAATGAGATTGCAAAAAACTCCAAATGTTTTTTTTCCCAAACTGGGTAAACGGAGTAACAGAATAGCAGGTGTAATGAAGTGTCGTAAGTATACAAATTGGGACAAAGAAATACTCACCTCTACACTTATAGGAACCAGTAAATTGGTGGTAACTTGGCTCCTCTCGTGACAAATCCCCAGGAATATGCAAT